GCCACTTGCATTACTCGATCTTACAGTAGCAAAACTGAAACTCCACAACTCCCAAAGCAGAACACATAAGAAACCCGCCCAAGTTTATGTACAAGCACACAATGAACTAACTTGCATTACACATGACAATCCCATCTGCCCTACCTCCTCAAGATACCGAAAATTTGATTCAATTTTGTTGCGAAAAAGTTTCTTGTAATCAAAACTTTAGATTCGTCACAACATAAATGCACCCTTACACATACAATTCTCGCCAATTACATAATTCTTTGGCAGCATCAACTAATCTTATACATTGTATATGTAATTATAGCTACATGATCATTTGGGTTTTTCTTGGCAGTTCATTTTTCTGTAAAAGAAGGGTGGAACACTTCCATTTTACCCAGAAAAATAAAAGTACCCAAGGGAGAGAAGTGTGTTGGATAAAAATTTCATAAGCTGATAGAACAGATGTAGAGGGCAACAAGCTCAATCCAAAAATAGGAAAACAATAAAGAAAATCACAAGGATTTACAAGAATCAAGCTCTGAAATTGAAGGAGATAGCAAATCTACTCAGCAGCTTACGAAATTAAAGATTTTGATGCAAACCCAAAATCTGAAAAGAGGGCATGAATTCATGGAAAAAAGAGAAACCTGGTTTAGGATTGAAGACGTGGTTAGGGGAGAGAGGTAGTCTCCCACATATCGCAGTCTCCATGACTCTCTTTCTTTGTCTTTCTGTGAAATGTGTCGCGTGGTTTATTTATTTATTGGAATTTTCTCTTTTGGGTCTCTAACTGAAATAACAAGAAAACGATCGAACTGGTGTGTCTGGTGCGGTGGAGGTGGACTGCTGGTTTTCACAATTCACATGAGACGTCGTTTTGAGCCCTGCCAAGTACGAACAAAGCTGATTTTTTTTTTTTTTTTTCTCCTTCGTATTTTGAATGAATAATCTTATTTATAATTCAAAAATGTGAATGTAAACGACAGGAATTTCTACAAATTGGCAACCAGCCAGGTCACAGGTGTTTCCGAAAATAAAAAAATGATGTTTGGTAATTTTAGGTATTAATCTTTTCCCTACGTATTGCATAAAGTATCGAACTTCATTCTAGGTAAACCATATTTTCATAGGAAAAATTCAGGTGATTAGTATGATTTTGTTTGTTTCTAAACCAAATTTTAAATGGGCTTCTTATGACTGTTGAGGTCCAACCTATTACAACCTCCTTTTACTTGGGCTTTAATGAGAATGTGGTTTTTCTGGTATTTTAAGCTTCTTTCAAGAACAAAAGAAGTTGTTGGTGTTGTTTTTTTACTTCAAATTTAAAATACAAGCGATACTAAAAATACAAGCGATATTGCGAGAGAGGTTTGTTTCGTTAAAAATTGCATCTATGTAATATAAAAGGAGCAATGAATTTTGCTGCCTCAATTTTTTCATGAAACTTTAACATATAGCTCTCGCTAAAAGTTACTCCAAAACCAAAAAGTATTATGACTTGAAATTTGCTTCTGGTCAGGTAAATGAACAACCGAACGAATTGCTTGGCAGCTAGGTAGATAGGGAGGAAGGATCGGTGAAGGAAGAGGATGACAAAACATTTTAGGCCGTACAAGAGAGTCTATCCTCAACATGATAATAATACATACTTTTGGTCCAATTAATGACATAATAAACATTCGCCTCTCATTAATTAATTATGTGTAGAAACGATACGTAGATGCATCAGTGATGATATTCCGGAAGCCCCCAACTGTGGAGGCCAACATGATGAACGCTCCAATGAAGATGGAAGCCTGCAAATTTCAAACACAAACTCATCACTAACTAAAAAAATAAATTATATATATTGTCATGCAAATTAATCCAACTAGCTAATCTGTATATATGTTGCGTCATGCAATAAATAAGCTTATTTGAGGATCCCTCAACTGAAGCTCTCTCTCCATATTGAGGATCCCTCAACTGAAGCTCTCTCTCCATATATATATATATGTATATATATATATATATGTTTGGCTTACCCAGTTGACGAGCCACTGGAGGCCGAATCTCTTTGGTTTCTTAATGATAAGCCACATTATAGAAGGAAGCTGTAAGAAAGAAAAATGCTCAATTCAGGAAGCTGTTGTACAATTAAAAGATAAAGAAATGAAATATTAGCGAGAGAGGCTTACGAAATATGAAGTGGGGGCAAAACCAAATCCACCAAAGAAACCAAGCAGGTCCCCAAAGAAAGGGAAGGTCACTCCAACGAATAATGTAAATGCTGCAACATATTAAAGTTTTAATCAACCACAAATAACAAAATCAATCACTCTCTGTCTCTTAATTCAGAGCCAAAATGGGGAATTAATCTCACCAACATAAGCTGATCTTGTGATTAGTCTGAGTGCAATTCCTGGTGGGAAGTTCACTTTTTTCACCATCAACCTCTCCAGCATGTCAAAAACAGGCATAGCATAAACCTGCACAGTTTTTTTTTTTCTTCTTCAAATTAGTCACATTACATCCTTAACCTTAATTAGGTAACTCTCTCTCATATTATTACTTAATTAAGCTGCTAAGTGCTGAGAGCAGAGTGGTGAGTCAGCAGTTTGACCTGGTAGCTGCCAATGACATGGACGACGACCATTAAGTTAGCAGCAGCAATGAGCCATGAAGGTTTCTTAAGATCCATGAGCACATTGTCATCAACATCTTGACCAAAAGCCCAGTACCCAATAAGGGCCACTGGGAAATAGCAAATGGCATTGATGAAATAGGCTCCGAGAGCACCTTTCCACATGGGTATCCTCGAAGGCTTCTCGGGAGTTGATGGAATTGTGGCCTGAATTTCAAGGGCCACTGCATGCCCTGCAAATGCAAACGAGATTTGACCCAACGCATTGAACACCCTGAACATGTAATCTGCTGGGCTCGTTTTCTTGTAAGCGTAGCTTACATTTTCAACCCGACCTTTGCTTAAGCAACCAGCCCAGGCTATAGTTGAATAACTGCAAATTAATCAACCAAATTATAATTAATCAAGCAAGTTTGTTAACTTGCCTTCTAAGGTTTCTCTTGTTCAGTGAGGCAAATTTAATAGGGTTTTAGAAAGGGTGACTTGACTGACTGCTCTAATTGTTGTTCTAAAACAAAACCAGAAAACCAACTTAGAGAAAGAATTAAGAAACTAATTACCTTAGTGACATGACCGCAGCTGCTAGAGAAACACCAGCCACGGAGTTGAAATTAGGAAGCTGAGAAAGAAAGAAATGGAGAGAGCCAAAGATGACAATCCAGTATGATTGCTTGATGGGTGTGCAGTTGGCACAGGCCATCTCCACAAACTTTTTCAGACACTTTCCCCCGGTAACCATGTACACTATGTCACACCCAACCTGCACAATTAGCTGCTGTGGAAGCACAATCCATGGCCCCAGTTTTGGTCCAAAGGCATGTCGACCCAGGTCTATATATCTATCGAACCGAGTCCCTGGGACACATTCATGGAGTTGTATCATCTGCCACATTGTGTTCAAGGTCATGCACCATGATATTGCCAACACCATTGTCCCCGGACCCCTGAAGAAACAAAACCCAAAAAAAAAAGGAGGAAGAAAAGTGGTTTAGTCTGTAACTACGACTACAGAGACAACTTGCCTCTTTTTGGTTTTGGTAATTTGAGGTGTTGTTTGTACCATCCTAAGTAGGCCATGGCATAAGGCAGACTGAGAACACCGGCACCGATCATGGCAGTGACGGTGTGAAAGGTAGAGTACCACCATTTGGCTCGGCGAGTGGCGTCCTGATCCTCTTTCCATTTGTCGTCTGAAACAACTTCCTGCCAGAGTTTGGAACACATAAATGATAAAACCAAAATCAAAATCAAACAGAGCTAAGATTGAAAAAAATTGTAAAGCTAGTTGGTTAGTAGTCTAGTACTGTTTTGTGTGAGTAGAGTAAATAATGGTGACTGATGCTCACCTTTGGAGGTGGAGGAGGAGGAGGAGGAGGAGGAGAAGTTGTAACCATTTTTTCTTCTTTCTTTTTCAAAGAAGACACAGAAACACTTTCAATGTGGGAGTTGAGTGATCGTCATCATGTATGTATATAGCGGTTGATGACCCAAAATTGAGGATGGAACATGGAAAGAAATGTGGGGTATATACATTGCTTTGCCCCACTTGTGTATATTTATTTTTGTTGCTTTCGACTGGGACTTGTGCTTTTCAAGACTGATCAGATGAGCAACAAGACTGATCAGATGAGCAAATCATATAGGAAAAGCAGTAAAGACCCTTGCATACTTGGCAAAAGATGTTAACTCCCCACTTAAAATTATGTAGTGTTTTACTGAAGCTAAGGATTGTGATTTTACTCCACCCACTTTAATGTTTGAAACAAAGGAATCTGAGGAGGACCCCATTTTGACAAGCATCATGAAGCTCCCCTGTCAATTTTCTTTATGGAAAGTTCCTTTTATACAATTATTTTATTTCTATTCCGAGTATTGAATCAATGATGGAAAATAAAAATAAAAATTTGTTAGTGGGTGAATGGATCCACCTTAAATTCAATCAGTACAATTATATAACATTACGGCTTTATAAAGAGAAGAGGGCATAGTTTGAGGGATAATGATTAAAGACCAAGGATGCTCTTCTTCATGGGTAGTTGGTGGTGTCTAATTCTTTTCTTCTTTTTGAGTGTCCCCTGTCACTTTGCACGCCCGGAGGTGACTGCTAGCCACTGATTACCACAAAATTAAAGGTTAATTATCATGTTTTGTTTAATCTTACGCTAACTCAACATCACACATATATTACAGAAAATTATGATAATGATATTAGAAATGCAACTAGGTTTCAACTTTCATACATGTTCAACCAACAAGTTCACACGTTGTTCAATAAGCTGCTTCTTTCTTGATATGTGTATGCGTGTGAGGGTGTAAATAGCGATTACAAATCAAACAAGTACACCAAAAATTTGGCTTAGGGAAGATATAACGCACACACGCTAAATTTCTGCAGAAGACAAAAAGGTATGGCCTTATTCATGGGATAAAAACTTGCACACTTAACCAGGATTAGGTATTGGTAAAGAGCTATGTCAAGATGCGTAAAGGTATAAATTCTCATTTAAGAAGAGAGGCCTCTAAAAATCATAAGTAAAACTGTGATAATTTGAGGTTATACTTGGCTGATAATTAAGTTCTTCACATGCCAGTCTACAAGTATTTGTAATAAGTCGAAGCTCTTGTTTGTTTAACCCATAAAGCCTCCTCCAGGCATATTGGGCCCTTGTGAGGGAACTTGTCCCTGTGAAACTAATTGCGACCGGCCTTGAACATAAGCTTGGCCCATTCCTGTCCCAACCAACTGCTGTTGTTGGTGCTGTTGCTGCAGTTGCTGCAATTGTGGAAGCTGTTGTTGTGATTGTAGCTGTGAGAGCTGCTGCTGTTGCAGCTGCGGAAGCTGCTGCTGTTGTTGCAGCTGTGGAAGTTGCTGCTGTTGCTGCTGCTGCTGTTGTTGCTGCAGTTGTGGAATTTGTTGCTGTTGTTGCAGTTGAGGATGCTGCTGCTGCTGTTGTTGCAGTTGAGGATGCTGCTGCGGCTGTTGTTGCATCTGAGGATGCTGCTGCTGTTGTGGTTGCATCTGAGGATGCTGCTGCTGCTGCTGCTGTTGTTGCATCTGAGGATGCTGTTGCTGTTGTTGCAGCTGCTGCTGCTGCTGCTGAAGCTGTGGATGTTGTTGTTGTTGTAGCTGTGGATGCTGCTGCTGCTGCTGTAGCTGTGGATGCTGTTGTGGTTGCTGCTGTTGCATTTGTTGCTGCTGTTGTTGCTGACCACCTACTTGTGGCTTAAACACAACCATATCCTGAACCGACGGTACACTTAGCTTTAAAAGAACCAGGTTATAAGAAAGTTACAATGCCGTGCCACAACCTCATTTTGGAGAAACCCCACAGGCCTCCATTTCAAAATTGGAAAAAATTAAAACAAAAGTTGAGGAATATGCAGGGAACCTTCAGAACTGAAAGCACCTTGTACAGGCTGCTACAAAGCTCTTTAATCTATCCCTAACAATCTTCACAAAATACAAGGTTCATTTTGCAGGTTGCTTTTAATACTGAAGGTACCTTACATACGTTTTGTGGACTTGCAAGCTCAGAGTTGGTAGCTATTAAAACATTATTTGGAAAATAAATAAATAATAAGTAATCACAATCAGCAGTAATAAGAATGGCAATCTCACCCCAGGAAAAAGCATTCCAATCAAGCGGCAAGCTTTGTCAGAAACAGAGAGCAGTAGTGTCTGAGAGGGCAATTGGATCACAGCACACTGAAAAAAAAGTGGGAACGAGCTTTTTGAGAAAAAAATCTATCGGAAAGAACTCAAATTCATATTTACATTCAGAGGAAACTATTATAATAAAAGGTCAAATAAAATAGAAGACACCAACTAGCTTTGATGCTCAAGCCTCACAAGGATGAGAACAGAATCCAAAATTTAACCCCACTTCAAGCTGACCATTATTCACCCAAATAAATGCATAAATAACACAAATGGAATATAGTTTATCACAACATTTGGAGGTTATTTAGTTTGATTAAATAATTATCTAGGTTCATATGAGAATGTCACAAAGCAAGGGCTAATAATGATGATTAGGTTAATATAAACGAAAGAGCATGATCATTGGACAAGTGGATGAGAAACTTAAGGGATAAAGTGGAAGCTGTAAGTAATTGAATAGCAATAAGGAGAGTTTTTCAAAGTCAAGACTTGAGAAAAAGCGAAGTCCCCTCGTACAAAAAGTATAGATGTGGTTCACTCTATCTCACCCCCCACAAACAAAAAACCCTAAAAAAGGGCTTGAAAAAGGAAGTGCAGCATGAATGATGAAAGTCAAAAATTTTGTGATGAAAGTCAAAATTTTTGTGAAGAAAATCAAATTGGAATATGTTGGCTACACTTACAGGAAGAAATACATATAAGGGAAGGGCGAGAGAGCAAGCATCTTACAAGCTTCTTTTCTTGCAACTGCCCAAGAAACCCATGCTGATTCATTGCCCGAAAAACAAGAAAGTCTGCCCTTCCAACATATTGCCTGAAATTTAAATGTTGATGAAATCAAGAAGACTGAGGAGTATAACAACTACAGGACAATATATAAAATACAAGAGGGAAATCTTTCAATAAACAGTAGTTACTTGTTATTCATGTGGTCCTGAGATATGAGCCTGACTATTTGCATTGTTGGTGGCCAGTTTGCTGCAAGCCTGAGGAGTGAGAAAACACAGGTCGATCAATATAGGTAAAAGATATATGCCAATGACATTATGTTTTACCATAATTATAACACTTTATTGTGCAGTAAAGCACCAACCAACAAGGCCAGCCCAACTAAAGAGTTCTGATCAAAACTTATAGCAACCACTCTCAGATCATCAGGATTCTAAGAATGGAGGTAACTTGAGAAAACACATCCACTCTCAGATAATCTATATTTGCCTAGTAAAGGTGCATGAAATCAAGTTGAGTACAAACTCAGTTCATTCACTTTTTATTTTAACCAATAGTAGTAGACCTTTTTTCATAAAAATAAATAAATTTGTGTTAAAGATAGAAACTCTAAACCATTGATTATATTCCATTGACATATGATTTGGCAAAGAAAATAGAGCACTCTCCCAACTTACGTCTCAGAAGCTGAAGCACTCCTGTAACCCTGACAAAGAAGCATTTGGGATTTTAGTAAATAATTGAGTAACTGCTAATATTGTAAAAGATAAATGGGAAAATTACAAATAAACCCCATTTGGTTAGGCCCTAAAACATTGCTCATCTCTGTGGTTTATTTCAGGACACTTGCATCTTTCTGGTTTACTAAAATTTCTAATTAACATGTGTCATTAACAACATGTAAGAAAACTATATATCCACTTTTTGTGTTCTCTGCAATTATTGTTCTTTCTCTCCTTCTCTGGCAGCAAATGCATAATAATTTTGTAATATAAATCACTCAAAAGCACAATCACAAGGGAACACATAGAAAACCTATGGTTATCCATGATAGACACATTGGCTTTGATTCTATGGAAATCTGGAGTTTGCGTTTCTCTGTTTTGATAGTTTGGCAGTGGAGTTTTGGGTGAAGAGTGGAGTTGATGGAAATCAAAGATGAAGAAGAGGATGGGCATATGGTCTTTCACAACCCAGTTTTTATGAAAACATCCTGAAAATTCTCATGTGCCAGAGCCACACACATGCTTCATTATTTTTCTTCTCAAAATTAATGATTATGTGCAATGAAAGAAACCACAGAAGTATGAGTGTCACAAAATAAACCATAAGCACAAAATGTCAGACCACATGGGGTGTATCTGTTATTTTCCCAAAACAACTTTAAGTAAAAGCACATAAAAGCATATGAACATCCTACAAGAGAGCAAACTTTATTAGAGGGGGAAAAAGTAGAATCCTAAAAACAAGTATAAAATTAAAAAGAAGTCCATGTGATCCCATGGGGCATCTGAGACCAAACCTCTAATCTGGTGATAAATACAGGTTGCCCTTGTCTCTGCCCAGATAAATTTCCCTGCATGTGTTTAGATCATTCAAATATAACTGATTGCAGAATTCCACAGTAAACAAGAGCCAACCCTCTTATAAATTTTCCCTGATATTCTATCTCACAAAAGCCCAACTCAAATATTTTCCAAAAAAAATATACTAGACCTACCTCCCAGACTTTCACATATTTGGATTGTGCAGATTGCAGAGCACTTGATGTCTGTTGTGACAACGGTACATTAGGTGCTGAACTATTGTTTGCACAAGTGACTGTATCCCAGCTTGCACCTGTTGAGGCCTTCCTGGAGTAGGAATCATGGTACCAGTTCCAGAGGAGGAACCTGATGAACCAAGGGCACTCATCATGTTAGGGTTCATGCCAATTGCACTTTGAACCATTTGTGGTCCCGAGAGATTTCCTTGGCTCATGCCAGGTACAGATTGACCCATACTAACACCACCTTGAAGGTTACTCATTGGTTGCGAAATCCCAAGGTTATTATTTCCAGACACATTAGAATTAGCTGAAGTAAATGAACTAAGACCTGAGTTCTGTGCAACCTGTGTAAGAGTGCCAGACCCTGAAGATGAAAACACGTTTTGAGCAGCACCCACTGAAGATGCCATTCCACTAGATATCATGTTTGATACATGCATGGCCATAGGATTTTGACCCATAGTTTGGAGTCCTATAGAAGTTCCTCCAGTTAAGGCTGCTGAGTTCATCACGCGTGCTTGAGAGATATTGTTGAGGATGCTACCAACAGGACGTGAGGGATGTGTCACACCACTCACTACAGGTTTCAAATCTGGCACATTCTCATTATTTGTGGTCATCTCTTGAGAAGCAGAAGATGGTGAAGAAGTCTGCAAGCTTGGGACTCCCTGGGAAGGAGGACGGACAGATGGAATATGTGGAAACGCAGGTCCAGCTACCATGGAACTTACAGTACTTGGCTCCTAAACAAATTATATACAGAAGTCTATGACAATTTGCATAATTTAAATCAACACAACAGAACAAAAAAAACAACCCTTGCAGCACAAAGCATAAAACTCAAATGGGAGCATAACAAATCTTACAACTTTTACAGTAGCAGGAGGCACATTTCCAACAGCAACTGGTTGCCGATTCATAACAGATCCATTCACTAATTTGGAAAGTAAACCAAAAAAAGGGGGGTAAGTCTTCAACAAAGCAGGATAAGCAAGAATTAACCATGAAAAAATTATGAACAACCTAACCATAACAAACTTAATTGATTAATTCAAACCAGAAAGAGCCTTGTATCCCATGAATTGCAAACATTTCCACTTATTATGTTCATCTGTGAGGTGTTCATAATGATGAGCCAAGTACTCTTATACATAAAAATAAAATAAAAACTGCAAGTACATTGGTATTGACGCATTGATCATTTCAACTGAAAGATAAAAGCAAGAATAAAATCAAATGTATATTTGGAAAGAAATCATTAAGTTCTTTCATTAAAAATAAAATATAAACCAGATATTTTGCACTATAAAAAAATACATGATATTCAATATCTAGCACGTTTAGAAAGGGAGCAGCATATTGACTGGAAAAACAACCAGATGGCATAGAAGTTGGAGGCGGCCCTGTAACTGAAGCAACAGGAGCTATGTCCATTTTCACAGGACTCGGATTCGAGGGCAAATTTGTACTTCCAGGACGACTTAAAGTAGCACGGGCCTCCATAAAGTTCTCTGAGATTAAAACAAGAAACTGGGGGTTTTTTGCATTATCAATTGGTGGGTCTGCCACCCGGGGGTTGCGCTTTCCCTGCATTGGAAAAGTGGTCTCTATCATGCCAACTTCTAGTGATTTTAAACCATAGGAAATAAAATATCACTCTGGCAATAATTATGTCACCTCTCTTTTGTATCAGATCAAACATTCTTCTTTGCAGGTTAATTAACATAATTAGACAGTAGTTAAACATATAACCAAAGAAAGCTAATTTTCTTTCAGGATAGTCTAAGCAATTAAGTTTAGAGTTTGGCAGCATAAAGGTGTAAAGCTCAAATAGAGCACTAAGGAAAATAAAGAAAGGATCGTTAAGATGTTGATTTAGCTAAAAACAAAAAATAGTCAAGGGTATAATATATAAGAACAAAAACTAAGAAATAGAGTCAAACTATCTGCATACCGCATTATAAATTGCTCTGAGTTTAGGTAGCTGTTTTGGACAAATGACTGACAGCGAAACAGAGCACTGGATGGAAAAGTAAGGGATCAGTACTGATGATGTTCAACCTAATAAGAAAAAGGAACAGCCACCATTAAACTAAACAAAAAACTACCTGTGGAAATGATTTAGCAACAGCCTCAGCATCATAAAGACGGTTTTCTGTTTGTGCGTCAATACTTTCATTCTGCTCCAAATTTTGCAGTTGTGGTCGATACACTGGTGTGGGCAAGGGGTGAGGGTTACTAGCAGCAATAAGTATGCAATGCTTCTGACAATCCACATTTTGTTGATTTTGGTTTCCATTTTGAACAGTAGGGAACATCTGAGTTACACAGCAGAAGAATAGTAAATGTTTAGCTTAAAATGTAACCTTAAGAACTGCAGTCAATAATGATCCAAAAGGCTTATGATCTTTTAACTTAAAATCTGTGGAAAATCGGAAGTAGATCCACAGCAGCTGTAAGTTATAACTTGTAATTTAATCTAACTCACTTCTCCACATTCTTTCCATAAACCAAATTGTAGGCTCTTTGTGGTCAAGAACCAATCCTTAGCAGTAAGACATGTTTTCATTCCCTCCCCTAGAACTAATAGTCACCAGTATAGATGGAAGCCATTGTGATATAAATTTTGACTCACTTTTTTTTATTTAAAAAAAGAAAAAAGAAAAAAGAGACAATTATATGTATGGATAAGCAAAATACTTGGACTGACTGAAACAACATACCATTAGAGCTTCAGAAAGCCCTTCCGCAATTGCAGCATCACTAAAACCACCCCCAGAAAAGGGTATAGCTGAAAGCCATTGTAAGAATAGATCTAAATCCCTTGTCCAGCCACTCCGTTGTACCAGGCAACCTGCATAAAAGGTTGTACAAGTATAAAAAGATATTGAGCTAAAGCCAGTTACAGTAAAGACATGGAAATTCCTGCACATTGTCTAGATGAAATGGAAGCTTCATAACATCACAGGCATGTTACTCTTATATAAGTGATACTTCTATTTTCTAAGGGGAACTGGAAAATGTACTTTTTGAAGTCGTGTAGTTCATTGTGTTTCAACATAAAGTTCACAAAAGTAGACAAGGCACTCAATTCAAACAAGTTGATGTATTCCAGGCGGTATTATGCACAAAGAAAAACTATATTGGTATGATTTTATTCTTTAACACAAATCCACTGAGAACCCACCACTGCAAAGGGATCATTCCATTAAGTATGATGTGAAAATCACCAAGCAATAAAGTAACAAGAGAGGTCATATATTGGATAACAAGGATTAAGACGAATGAAAACTACATACCACAATACGATCCATGAGTATAGAAGGTGACCAGGGAGAGCTCAACAGTAGAAGTAGAGGGCTTCTGTATCTCAAAAGCAAAATATCTCGTAAATAAGAAAAAGGCTAGCAAGCTAGAACTAAATCTTACAGAGGGAATTCATACTGCTAGCTGAAAGTGAAATGTTAGATTATAGATGTCTATGGTTTGATAAATAATTAATAAATAAGGCATGATGACCAGAATGTGAGAAAAGTTAATGCAACATTACAAAAAATTGAATCCTGCAAAGGAAACTGGACAACACTAAAATGCATTATCTGGAATGCCAAACATTATATGGGCACATGTTCAGAAAATAGCTTTTGCATGAACAATTAGCAGTTCTTGACAAATGCCTTTCTGATGCAGAATCATAAACATAGACAATAATAAATTTATTGAAAAAAGGCGCATACCTGCCCATTCAACTCGTTTCCACAAAAACACCTGCATGAAAAAACTAAATCAGAACTGGCATACAGATATAGTAATGCATAAAATGCCATTCAAGTTAATGATCCAACATGTAACGAGAAAAGGCAATGACATATTGAAAGTTCATATATGGCTCTATGCACAGGAATATAATTAATGAACCTAGTTAATCTTCCTAATATGAACTGTAATTGAAGCTGTTAAAGCTGGGCACTTGTTAACTTTTAGAGTTCTCATGGACAACTTAATAAGTTTTCCATGTGCAAGAAAATGAAACTGTAAGCGGCAAGGCAGGGTAAAATTTCATCATTTATGCAACCCTCTAGGGAAAGCTATGACAAAACACAAACGAAGAAAAATAGAAGAATGAGTTAGAACTTAAATAGCAGACCTCACAATCTTCTCTAAATAATCTACAACAATGAGTTCCCAAAAGAGACCCATGGCTGCAGTCCCTTCAACAGAGATGATAAGTTGTTTCTCAGCCATTAGGGTTTTCTCTGTGACAGAAATGGGAATCCTCTTTTAAAGATCACACTGGCAACCTCAGGGATATCGATTAGTCTCGCTAACAAGCATGTATGCACTTATTTTCTCTAGTTATTGACACGTCTGTGTGGAACTCTGTAAAAGACAAACTAGCTATCCACCATTGACCACATGTAACCTATAATAGTTATTAATTAATAATAATAACTGTAAAAATCATATCAACTAGAGCATAACACCCCGCTTCAAGATGTCTAAGGATTTATCCTCTCTCCTTTATTTCACCACCGGAGGAAACCCAGAACGTTTGAATTTATTTGCTCAAACACGATATTATTAAGTTCAGAAATGAATCAAAAGCGAAAAGTAAGCCAACCAGTTATTCAATGTAAAAACCTAAAATGTAAATATGAGAGGTTTATAGCCTATGCTATAGCCAATAGGTATGCTATATATTCCTAAAGCATAAATTTCTATAATAACCAAGACTCAACTCATTAAACCTCTTGTATTGTGCATAATTTGGATGGAAGTTCATCATGATATATGGAAAATATCTATATGATATTATAGGACTTATTTTTCCACCACATGCCAATAAGCAACAGTTCAACATTTGCAGATCATCATCGCTGACAACTTCTAACTAGTTAATTATATATATAATTCAGTTTCCATCAGTTGTACGAAATCAAACCTTGTACATTGTAGAAATATAGCAAGGCTGCATATGGTTTCAACAGTATAAGGGTTTAGAAATTGGACATTTTGAGGTTCACTGATCTATTTTTCTGAGGTACTTCTATAGCCGGCCAAAGAACCAAAACTCTATGATTCGAGTTACCCAAAAACTACTCCACATAACCAATATCAGATTGAAATGCAGCGTCTTCAAGCACAAAAGTAAAATTGCAATTTAAGTTCAATTCCGAGCCACCAAACCCAGCCGGAAACAAACTAATACATCACATAAAAGAGCCATAAACATTTCTCCTCCAATAAAATAAACGAAAAGGTAAAATCTTGTAGTTAGAGTGGCAGTCGCAAAAGTTAAAAATTTCTTCCCTCTTTCCCACAACTTCTCAGCAACCAAACAAAACAAAATTAGATAAGCAAACAAACCAAAACCCTAACATCACTAAAAATCAAAATCAACAAAAGAATACACCGAGTATGAGAAGTTCCTACCTGATTATCTTATCAAGGTAATCAGATATAACGGTTGACCAGTACGGCCCCATGGCCGCGGTGCCTTCAACGGCGACGATCAGCTGCTTCTCCGCCATCCTAAGGCCAGAAACGACCGTTAACTAACACTAAGAAATTTCAACTGCCTTGCGACAGGTTGTCCGTCAATGTGAGAAAGTTGAAAGCTTGAAATGGGATCAGTGCAGGAAACGCAGCGTCTGGTTGAAGACAGCAGGCACCAGTATTTAAACGAGAGCCAAAACCCCGCTACTACAACTACGACTGGTTTTTGGGGTTCCTCTGGTGGCGCAAAATTAGAGGGCGGGCGCATCGGGTTTTTTCGTTGGAAGGTGGAAACCTCTGTAAACGGTAAGTTTTGCTGGACAAAACAAATACAAATCCTTTCCTTTGGTAATTCTTCCTATTATGCCAATCAAATTTCATTTCTTGAATCTATATATATCAAGCAAACGGCAGAGAATGTTACAAAAGATAGAGAACGGTGAAACATTCAAAATACCAAAAAATGCACTTGATTAATGCAAATATTATGAATTGAAATTAGGGAGATTCTATATGAATTCCATTATTTACTCTTTACACCCCATAATCTTTTTAGGCCTTCTCCAACCCATGAGGGGCTAAACCCAAATTTCTCCCCTCCAAAAAGTAACTATTTAGGTTTTGTCCGAACTTAAATTATTTTTTCTCCAAACCCTACTGACTCAAATTTTAGGTTGTCAACTTTATTAAATAGTTTAAGAATGGTTTAAGTCTAATTTTTTTATGGATAACTTTTCTTCATTTAATCTTTTTAAATAACATCATAATTTAATTTTTTTGACCAATTTGACCTAAACAAAATTGAAATTCTATAAATTTAATTTTATTCCAAAAGTAAACACACAACATAATTGAAACACAAAATGAGGATTGAAACAATTGTCGACCTCATTCACCATCTCCAAAGCTCATCCAAAGGTGATTGATCAAATTATTTCAGTAGATTATTACAAAAGTATGAGAATGAAAGGAGATTGATGAGATTGACAAAGGAAAAATAAATTGAGAAATAGATAAAATATTTTTGGCAGATTATTTGAGAAATGGATGGGTATTTATAGAGTTTGGAGTGAGTTTTGGGGTTGGATATGATTTAGATTAATTTAAAATATTATTTTGACCGTTGGATTTAAATTTCAACCGTCATATCTTTTTTTTTTTTTAAACCGTTAAAATAGCTTAGATTTAATCCTCATCGTTTATTTACGTTACATGAAAAAAAAAAAAACAAAACAAAACAAACAACAAATAATTTCAAATGTTGCCGTTAACGGCAACTTCCTAGGTGATTGACAAGTGGCTTTTTGGAAGAAAATATGGCAGCATCAAAAAACGAGGTGGGGCCCACGGAGGAATCTTTGCACATGGGGCTACTGATATGAAAGTGGGCTCCACGAAAATATTTGGGTCTGGGCAATAAATGGTTTGGTATTTGGGTCCAAATTTGGGTTTTCCCAAATTTTAGCCCTTTCATTTTCATGGGTTGGGAGAGGTTTGAGGCCATATTTTGGGTTAGAGATGGCCTTACACCCCACTAAATTTTTAAAAAATTTCAAATTACTCACTATACCCTATTTTTCTTCATAAATTGCCTTTATGAACCTCATTCCCTAACTTACTGTGTAAACCCCATCCATATCATACAACACCCATCGAAAAACCCCTTCTCTTTCAGATACACTCCATCTGATATCAAACCCCACCCCATTCCATATCAAGCCCTACCCCATCGAAAATTATCTCCTCTTGCAGACACACCCCATCAAATTTACAACAACCTCCACCGAACACCCCATCCCCTTTGAAACAGAGCCATCGCACAACCCATCTATGCAATCTTCATTACACAACCCATCTCTGCAAACCCGAACCCATCGCACAATCCATCTCTGAAACAGAGCCATCACACCTCATAGCCAACCCCAAATGCCTCATCCTGTCGCAAACCACCATTGCCTCAACCATCACCAATCTGTCAAGTTTTCACAAATCCTTCTAATAGCCAAGGTTTGATTTTAATTTTGATTTCTATATTTATGTTTCTAAGTGTTGATTAAGTCTAGGTTTGATTTCACTTTTGAAAAGCCAAAGTCTAGTATTGATTTCAACTTTGTGGGTGTATGGTTCGAACCTAGTTTTACGAAACTGGATTTTTGTTTCGGTGAATTACCACCCAAATGGTTACATTGCTTCAATGGTAGTCCACCGAATTTGAACCTGAAATTAATTTTACTTTAGGTGAGTTACCACCGAAATCGTTACCTAGTTTCGGTGGTAGTCCACAGAATTTGTTTCAATTTTTCAAGAGACGTCCACCGAATGTATTTCCGTTTTTCAGTGGTACTCCATCGAATATGTTTTCTTTTTTCAGTGATAGTCTACCGAATTTGTTTCCATTTTTTAGTAATCATCTACCGAATACGTTACTGAGTGTGTACTTAATATTGTTTGTTTTTATATATGAAGATGACTCGCAGAGGTACTACGGAGGCTTCATTATCTCAATATAATAGACAGCGTCTCATGGCCTCAACGAGGAGACAGAGAGCGGCTCCCCAAGATCACTTTGAGAATACTACAAAGGTTAAATATGTAGCTCCTACTCATGATAGTAATGTTAACGCAGAGGTTGAAGATGCAGCTGCTACTCATGATAGTAATGTTGAGGTACATGTCGAGCCTACTGAGCCATCTCGAGTAGGTCACATTGATCCATCTTTACTTACGAGTTTTAAAACTCACATAACAGCTGCAATTTGGAATAACTAGGTAAGTCGTTTTACTATGACAATAGAATGTAGAATATAAGTCTGGTTTATAGTAATTAACCTTAATATATATATTTTTAACTAAGAACGTGAGCCCCTTAGGTGCATATCGAAGACATCTACCCTTTGTGCGTGGAATTGGTGGGGTAATCCAAATAATGGTATATTCAAAAGGTACATTCAGAGGTCTGGATTAGAGCAACTTATTAGGTGTTCTTATCGGAATGCTGATAAGAATGTGGTTCCTACATTACTTGAGAGGTGGCATCCCGAAACGAATACCTTTCACATGCCTTTTGGTGAGATGATCGTCATATTGGATGATGTGTCATCTATTTTAGG